AGTTTACTGGATGTTTTCAAAAACTCTGGTTTGGATCCAATTTGGATCGAAACCAAATGGAAAGAAACAAAACTAACAGGATTCCTGGCAAAGTGGAAAGGCTGGGAAGTGGCCAGTGCCTCTCCCTGAGGTCGGTGCACAGGCTGCTCTTAGAGTTAAGCTCACATCAGCCTCCGTGGCACAGGCAGAGCAGCAGCAAGGCTTTCAAGTAATATCTTGCTCACACAAGCCTGTCAGAGGCATTTACTTGGGTGCTGCTTGCTGGGAAATCCTGCCGATCTCCTCTGCACAAACCCCAGAGACCCCGCAGGCTCGCGATTGCTGCCGTGCCCTCAGTAGAAACGTCCTTGTGTTGCGGGGAGGGCGCTTGCCGCGGCGGCGGAGGTAACACAGGCAGCTGCATTTTGGTGGGGAAATCGTTCCTGGATCGATAAATCGAAAGCACTTTGCAGTGGGGGAGAACAGTCCAATCCGTAAGCGCAGGGACTCGCGTCCACCGCGTCCTGCTGGGGCGGTTTGAGCGTCCAGCCAGCCCCTGCTCACCTGCCGAGCTCCATGGGTGGCCCCCCAAAGCTGCCCAGGCCCCTTTCCCCTGCCCCACATCCCGTCGAGGACGCCCGAGTGCAGCCCTTATCCCCTCACAGCTCCACCCGCAGGGCTGGGGCGATGCCGTTGGGGTGCAGACCGGAGGGTACCGACACACCGTTACTGAGGGTACACAAGGAGAGGGCTGGATTTTGGGGCTTATCTGTGACTCTCTGTCATTGCACCCTGGCTGCAGGTTGGATTATTCAGGAATTGCACTGCTGATCATGGGGAGCTTTGTCCCGTGGCTCTACTATTCGTTCTACTGCTCTCCACAGCCAAGACTCATCTACCTCTCCATCGTCTGTGTCTTGGGCATCTCTGCCATCATTGTTGCTCAGTGGGACCGGTTTGCCACCCCCAAGCACAGGCAGACAAGAGCAGGTAGGAGATCTCCCTCCTCACCCCGAGTCCCCAGCCCTGTGAGGGCTCCAGGGGGCACTTTGGGAAGATCCCGTTGTGGGGTGGCTCTTCCCATTTGGGAAAACTCAGCACCTGCAGAATTCCTTCCCCCGCTCCCGTGGGGCGGGAGCGCAGCGGCCCGGCCGCGCAGGCAGCCTTACCGCTCAGCTGCCGGCATCGAAACCCCCTCCCGCTTCTGCAGCCTCTCTGTGAGCGTTCACAGCCGCGCTGGTTGCAACCTAAAGGTTTTATTTGTAGTCACAAAACATTCAAATTAAAGTTGAGGCTTAGGATTTTAAGTATAGAACATTCAGCTCACCTCTTCGCAACTGTTCATGAGACTTTTCCCAGAGTTTTGCAGATTGCTCTGCTGCCGCATTTTTAAGGTTTTCCATAAATATCAGCTCTGCCTTTCTACAGCACAAAGTTTGGGACATAAGAAAAATAAATTTAATCGATTGATTGATTGCAGTGGGCTCAAGGTAATCTGATTATCCCTTCGGTGGGGTCATGTGATAGGGTTATTTTGCTGCTAAGCTGTAGGGGGGCTCTTGGGGCTTTTTTGCAGCTATTTTGCTGCAAGTCACCCAGTTATCTTCCCCCCCCTCTCCTCAGCAACGTTGGGGGTTTCAGCTGGGAGCTGATGTTACTGGCAGTGCTGTGACCTCGCTGGGAGGTGACACTGTAGGACCTGGCTGAAGTTTGCGTAGCAGTCACCTTCCTTAGAAGTGTGGATCGTTATCGGCCTGAGTGGCTGAGCGGGGAGGCAGAGGTCCGGCTGGTCAGGCTGGTGTGTCACAACGCTTCGAGGACGAGGATGAAGCGCTGCCCCTTCTGCAGCAGAGCCGGTGTCACGCTGGGGCCCTGCTGAACCGTCAGCGCTGAGAAAGGGCAGCAGCTTTGTTTATTTAAAACGCGGTGGCCTCTGACTCTAGTAGTTCATCGGCCGTTAGGAGGGCTGCCGGCAACCGTGGAGCTTGGAGGGATGATTCCTTGCTCTGAGTGAGGGTCTTGGCTCACGGGCAGTCAGAGCTGGCCTGGCGCCTGCTGGCTCTCCTCACTCTGCTGGCCCTGCCATTCTCTCCTCTTTTTATCAAGCCAAATGGTGCTGTGAGCCACTGTAGCTCCTTCTGAGGTGAGGGTTATCTTCAGCCTTGATGGTCATTCGAGCTGGTATGTGGCGGCCTGGGGACTCTGGCATAAATGAAGTCCTGGCCTCTGCTCTCCTCATCTCTAAGTGATCTCAGTTGCCGTCAGGAGTAGGAATCCAACCTTATCTTGTGCAAAGCAGCGAGCACATCGTCTCGCTGCTGTGAGGTGTTGCCTTAAAGTCAGGGGAACAATTAATGGTAACATTAAGCTTGTAGATCAAGTGCCAAATTAATAATAGAATAATCTTGTCTATTCTCTTCTGATTCTTTCCTCTACTGAGGTCAAGCAGTGCCAGGAACTGTGGAGTGTTTTGTGTGGGCTTTCAGATGCACACAGCGTCTCTCCGGGAGTTCCAAGGAGCTGACACATGAAATGGCTGTGCTGGTATCAAAGATGTTTTCTCATTTAAAAGCTGCATCTGAAGAGGCTTGAAGGATAGTTTAAAAGGAAAATTAAGAACCCCAAAGGTGACAGTTAATGATCTTAACATCTGAAGCAAGGTTAAAGATGGAAAAAGTCTAGGAAAGCATTCCATGATTGGGGTCTAATTAATGAAGCTTCTGTAAAGAACAGTCATGATTTGCTAAATTGGAATTCTTTGCCCTTGTGGGTAAAGGAAGACCGCTTTACATAATCTATTTGGATTTCCAGAAAGCCTTTTAACAAGAACAGTGTTAGCAAGTTAACGAAGGAAGAGAGTTGTGATGAGATGTTTTATTCATAAGAGAGTAGATCAAAATCTGGACAGGAGATGTGGAGAAGAACAAAAGAACAAAAAAATCCTGAGAAGAAAGTGTTAGTCTCTTTTCATCTTGGCGTATCTGACAACAGTGTGCCTGTAATGTTTTCCTGATCATTAAATGCAGGAAACAGGAAGGAAAATAAAATGTGAAATGGGACTAAATTATTTAAGTTAAGCAAAGCTGGAGGGCATTTGTAAGGAGTATGAGATGAAAGACAAGGCAATAAGTAAGAAGAGTGATGTGTGATGGGGTAATGTACAATCCTTCCACTGTTTTCTGAATCACTGTGGGTTTGGGACCTGGATGTGGCTGTCACTTGGGGAGATCAGTGGTGATGTTTGGGTGGCTTCTGGTGTGTTTGGAACAGCCAAGCTCTGCCAAGGTGGAAAAGCAAAGCAAAGGAACAAGTGAACGAGGCCAGGTGTGCAAACAAGCAATTTACCTTCATTTCTGAGGCGTGCAGAGCTGGCTGTGTGCTCTCATTAGAGCAACTGCGGAGCTAAGGAGAGACTCAGAAGTAGGTCATGAAAGTGAGGAGCCTGGGAGAACGTGTAGGAGGAGGGACTGCAAATTTTAGACCTTTTTTTCAGTAAGAAACGAAACACCTCATGACAAAATATGCAGTGCAGCGAGGGGTCTGGGGAAAAGAGACGATGTTTTTCACTCCTTAGAGCAGCAGAGCGTTAGCTTATGCTGTGAAGCAGAAGAGTGGCAGATTCAAAACGGATCAGTGAAGTTGTATTCTTACGTGCAGGAGCCAGATGCTGTAGGGAGTCCTCAAGAACAGAAACATGAAATTCAGGGTGAAATCGGAGGCTCATATCTGTAATTTGCTAATGTGAACACAGCTTGCCGCATTGCCGCATGCTGGTGTAGTCTGGTTTATGCTGGGTTTGCTGATTGTTGCCAGTGCAAGAGTTAAAATCGTCCGAGTGCCTGGCTTCTGCCTTAAGATTTTGATAAAAGATTCAAGAAACAAAACAACTTTGTTATTTTATGCTTCAAATTTACAAGCAGTGGCAACAGAGGTTAATACCAGGTTAGTGCTCACCTAGTTTAGGAGTTCTGTTTAGTGATGGAGAGTTACAAGGCTCTAGTGCTTGGCAGTGGTTTTGAACCCCAAATGAAAGCTCGTCTCACTGGTGTTGGAAGTGTTTGCTGCGAGGAGGGTGCTCTTTGTGTTGCAAAGCTTGTGCTCGCTGGTCGGAAACATTTGACGCTTTATGTTGTTGGAGGCAGGAGTTGTGGCCTTATGGACCTCTGACTAGGTCTGCGTTCTGTTGGAGTGAACTTCAAAGATCCAGGATGCATCAGGGAAAACCTTTTCAGTTTAAATGAAAGATGACTTTGAAGTCTCTCATTTAAATAACCAGAACTAATGAAAAGCATGAGTAATTCAGGAAAGTGATGTTTTGTGCCAGCTGTGAACTTAGTCTCATTGAATTTGCCACTGGAGTTTTCTGTAGATCAAGACAAGAATGAGAACAGTAAATTCACAGCTATTTGCACTCTGTAAGTAGGACAGAGCTGGAATTCTGCAGTTTTCCATGATGGAAAAACATCTCTCTGCCTTCTGTGAGGAGTTCAAGCAGTTCTTCTGTATATTTGATGCTTACCACTCTCGGGAGATGGGTTGATAGACTCTCGGCAAAGGTTGAGTTTGTTTTCCTGTAATATTACCCGTCCCCCTGTTTTGTTGATGTCTGCTCCACGAGCTGGATGCGAGACCGCACAGCTGGCAGGCTTGATTTTCACTCCAGTTACACTCAGTGCATGAGTGGTGGATCCATTACAGTTAGTTGCACAGTTTAACATGATGGAATTTAGTATTCTCATCTTTATTTTTCTTTATAGTCCCTGGAGGATAGTAGATGACTGCGGAGGTGCTTTCACGATGGGAGCGATAGGAGGTGGCATTTTCCAAGCTATCAAGGGGTTCAGAAATTCCCCAGTGGTAAGTAAAAACATTTGAGAGTGCCTTCAGAGTGCAGTCCTGCTTCTTGCCCATCGACAGTGAACCTGGCCAGCCGAAGGTAAAGGAGAAGCAGTCCCTGTGCAGTGAGGAGCACTGGTTAATGGCCTTAATCCAAACCAGGCACCAGGCGGGTGCATCTGGTGAACGGCTCCGGATCCAGATGGGGCCTTCATCTTTCTGGGTAAAAGTTCTGCTTCCCTCTCTTTGATCTGGTGGCAACAGTGGGATGCTGGCAGCCGACCGCCCTCCCTTGCTGAGAGACATCTCCCTTAGGATGGGGGAAGCAGAGAATGAAGCAGAAAATTACCGTCTTGGCTGATCTTTTGCCTTTGGTTCTGTCTGCATGTCAAGATGTGTGAAGCCTGGGCTGTTCTTCCTCCTCTGGCCTACCCTCTCCCTTTCTTTTATGAAATGGAAAGACACTCAGAGAAATATTTTTTCTCTCCTTTGGATTTATATTAGGGGATATTATTTTCTCTAATTAATCTATTTAATTATTAACATTTTTTTATTAGCTGGATTTTTTTTTGATAGTCAGGTTATGTTTACGCACGCTTCTGCACTTAAACAAGAAAGTTAAACTTTAGCTGATGCAGGTCAGTTATCACTTTCAGGATTTCTGCTGCAAAACTTTGACTGTGAGCCTGTTGTAGGGACACTTGATAAGATCCAATTTCTGCTTGAACATGTGTGTTCAAACTTTTCTCTGGCTTCACATAAAAGGGGTTTTTCTTGAGTGTTTCTTAGTGTTACTGTGTGACATTTAATAAACCATCGGTTTGAGGTAAGTTTTTTCAATAAATAATTGTTTCCAAACTAGTCATATCCTGCAGACACTTAACATGAAAAGGATTATATGCTTAACTACACTCTTAATTTTGCTTAAAACTTATTAAATAAGTCTGTCCACACTTCTAAGTGCTTGTATCAAAACTAAAACTTGAGTCTATGTTCTTTAAATCTTCTTAAAGTGTAGGAAAATACCTTGTCATAATTCACAGAATCCCAGAATCCTCGAGGTTGGAAAAGCCCTTGAAGCTCCTCCAGCCCAACCATGACCCTCACCCTGACCCTTCCCAACTCCCCCAGATCCCTCAGCGCTGGGTCAGCCCGACTCTTCAACCCCCCCAGGGATGGGGACTCCCCCCCTGCCCTGGGCAGCCCATTCCAACGCCCAACAGCCCCTTCTGCACAGAAATCCTTCCTCAGATCTAGTCTGAACCTTCCCTGGTGGGGTCCTGGATGACGTGTTTGGTGTTGGACTCTGGAAGCCTCACCGCTGTGTTTAGGCGCTGAATTACTTGCTTCTCTTAGCTACTGAGACTGGGCTGATGAGACAAGGACTAAATACTCCACCTGACCAGCAGGAACATCTGACTTTGGGACAACTAGTGAGATTGCTGCTGCCAGCCCAGCGCAGTGCTCCTGCTCTGTGGGCATCTGCAACAGGGTTGAGGTGGTTTTACTGAAATAAAATACTGCTGGAAATGTAACAGCGTGTGGTTTTCCTCTAAGGCAGCCCGTGGCACTCTTCCGCTGGGTGGATGTCCCTGTTCTGCACGGACAGTTTCCTCCCTGCAGTTACCTGCACCTGATGCTGCTCTTTGCTCTGTTGGTGTCCTGGCATCAGACAGGAACAAAGAAATGATACATGTGAAATACAAATATGCTTACCTCGCTGAAATGTTACTTTAAATGTCTCCTTCAGTCCCCACTAGGCCACTCAAACAGACTTTGGACTTGAATTGTTTAATGCTTGATGGCTGTAATTCACTTCTGTAGTTGACGAGTATATTATAAGGGAGTGATAAATACTAAAATATCTGTAAAATGCAGCTTCTGTCAGCTCCTGACCGCAGCCCTTGAGAGTGCTTAGAAATATGTTGGGCCTCTGGCAAGATTTTACTATATGCAGTCGGATTGGCTGTAAGACTTCCCTCTTCTATTTTAACTGTCATTTATCTTCTATTGTAGGGTGTAAACCACCGGCTGCGGGGAAGTTTGACAGCTATTAAAACAAGAGCTCCACAACTGGGAGGTAATTAATTTTGTCTTGTTGCTGCAGTCAGTCGACTGTTGGTAGATAACCCAGTTTGGGAATATAACGTGGTACAAGTGCAGTGACACTGGAGCTGTGGGCCACCTGATTTTCAGAAGGGTTTGTCAGTCTATGTGATGAGTAAATACAGTTCTGATGCATCCAGAATTAGTTTAGGTGTGGAGGAAATATGCTTGTGTTCATGGAGTGGTAAGCCAGGGTTAATAATTTTGTCATGTTTTAACCAGCTCTGTGCAGAGCTGCCTGGGAGCCTGTGCATTGTGGGCAGGGGTTTAAAATAAATAAACCTGACTCGTTAAAAGAAAGGATCAGGCTTGGAGGAACAATGAAGTGGATGGGTGGGTCTGGGTAGGATTTCAGACTGTTCCCCTGGGGTCAGCTCAGCAAACGTCAGTCATTTTTGTGAAGAGAATTTTGTGTGTAAAAATCTAAAAATCACAAAACAGCAGCTTGAGTCGAAATGATGTCGTGAGCTGTTCCCTGTGCCCTGAGGCTGTTCGGATGGGCAAATTACATTAATGCATTAAAGAAGGAGAAAATGGGAGAGTGGTTTGGAGCAGGGAAACATCAGCTGCAGCAGAACTACTTGAACAAGTCAGGGCCACGGGCTGGAAGGGCTCTAGGGCTGCAGACTGTGCGGAGAGGGATCCCACCTCCGGTTTTTAGCTGGTATTAAGCCTGTGTAAGGCATTAAGACACCTCAAATTAAGGAGTGCTGGACTTACTTTAAATAGTAGTTTTCCCAAAATGAGTCGGGAGATCTTTTAATTTATGATACACATTATTGTTAAAGGACTTCAGAATTTGCATTCTGAAAACTGGGGCAGTCTCTGCGTCTGCTGTACAGTACTGACCAGTACTGATCTGTGATGCCAGGAGCAGGGTTAGGGTAAGGTGTGCAATTACTCTGCATCATTCTCTATGAGGAAATACATTTAAAAAGTGAAAATTCTGAAAGTTTTCTGAGCTAATCTGACTTTATTAGGATGGAAGTTCCATTATAATCGCTGTTTGATAACCTCCCCATCATTAAATATAAATTATTATATCCAAAATGGATATGGAATACGTGTGTCACATGGCAAGTTGAGAATTTTTCTCAGTATTGATTTTAACCTGTGTTTGGTTCTTTGTGAGCTTGAACACACTTCCATGTCTGAAAGCAAGCGCGCTTGTACCACACCATCTCGTGGTTTTAAGGCTGCAGCATGGCTCGCTTGTCTGCTTTCTCTAAACTGGTTTTTGTTTATTTTTGAACAGGTAGCTTTGCTGTCTGGGGAGGTCTCTTCTCCATGATTGACTGCAGTATGGTCAGAATGAGAGGGAAAGAAGATCCGTGGAATTCGATCACGAGTGGAGCCCTGACTGGAGCCATATTAGCTGCAAGAAGTAAGAAACTGAGGACATGAACTCAAAAACTTCCGTATTCTAAACATACAGTTCTCATTGTTGTAGTGAAGCAACAGTCTGTGACGCCTAAATTGGAATTTACTTTGTCAGAAAAATTGAAAGATAATCTGAAACTTTTGTCCTGTGCTTATGAAAGTAATAATTATGTTCTCAAACATTATCAGTGTTCCTTTGTTTCCTGAGGGGGTGGGGGGAAGCTGCCCAGGAATTATCCTTTTATTGGTGATGCTAATGAGGCTTAACAGATGCAAAATTATTGCTTCTGAGTCTACTTATAGGAAAGATGATAACTAAAGAAAGAGAGCTATAATAGGCAAAGTAATGCACCAAAGAGGTAAAAGGTGTTGTTTTGTGCTTTCTGTTTTCAGATGGACCTGTTGCGATGGTCGGATCGGCAGCCATGGGAGGAATTCTCCTAGCTTTAATTGAAGGAGCTGGCATTCTGTTAACAAGATTTGCCTCCACACAATTTCCAAACGGTAAGGAGCCACCGGACTGTGGTATCACAAGGCTCCTGTAGTGCAGTCTCTGCTAACGTACCTCTTGCAGTCAGTCACTGCTCTTACCCCAGAGCGAATCTGCTCTGCCGGTTGCCAGCTTCCAAGCCTGTAGAAAGTCAAGGAGGAGCCGCACGTTTCTGTGACGGCACAAGAGTGTCATCAGCTCCTTCCCACTGGGTGACGGGAGGCTGCGTGGCTGAAGGCAGCGATGTCCCTGCTGTTCCTGTCCTCTGCCCTGGCCCCTGATGCGGCCTGTCAGGGAGTTGCAGAGGGCCAGGAGGTCTCCCCTCAGCCTCCTCCAGACTGAACCCCCCCAGTTCCCTCAGCCGCTCCCCAGCAGACCTGTGCTCCAGACCCCTCAGACAACCCTGGTTTCAGTGAGGTGATCAAGATCAGCAGGTGGATACAAATAAAACTTTTCCAAGAGGGGTGGGGGTGGTGTTTTTTTTCTAAACTGCTTCAAAAACTAGATCCTTTTTTTTTTTTTCCCCCCTAAAATGCATGCTGAGGTGTCAGCTGAGTTGATAACACTTTGTGTAAATACTTGTCGAGGGAAAATACTTAATAACACTGTGACTCTACCTTATTTTGGGAGGAATACAGACAAAAACTGGTGTTGAAAGGATTAATAGCAGGCCACTAATTCATGAGAGGCTTCCTCTCTCAGGTTTGTTCACTGACATTCTTTGTTCAATCTAAACTATAACAATTTCTGTTCTTAATACAAAGACATTTTAAAGTTAATCTGCTTTAGAGAAGGGGTATCATCTGTCTGTTAGGATTTATTCTCGCTGCAGTTGGCGTACAGGGAGCGTATTGCTTCCCTCCAGCAGCACGTCGGTAAGAGGAGCTGGGAAGCCGACTCCACAATGATTTGTTCCGTTTCACTGGTTTGCTTTATTGTCGGGCAAGTTACTGGGGGTAAACCTTGACAGAGTGGCTAAGTTCAGCTGAAGGGCAATAAGGCACGGGCATCCGGCTCCTTCAGGTGACTGAAAAGGTTTCCCTGGCACTGCTCTGATTCCTTTCCCCATTAATAAAGGAGATAAAAATATGGTCCTTACTGAACTGACACTCGTCAATGCATAAAGCTCTTGAACTTTGAGTGAAGAAAAATCAAATATGAAGTCTTGTTATTGGCTTCATTAATTGTAGAGGGGATTTATATTAAAAATGCTGTGAATGTGTTTCATGCTGTTAGCAGGAAGAATCTCTTGTCTTTTGGTATTTATTATTTGCTTTTTTCTTGCTTGCTTATTTGCAGGCCCTCAGCTTTCAGAAGACCCCTCCCAGTTGCAGCCCTCTCCATTTGGCGACTACAGACAGTACCAGTGATTATCCTCATTCTCCTGGTTCACACTCTACCTGAGCTGTGATTTCAAATGCTGGAGGACCAAGATGGGTATGTCTTTACACCGGGGGTAGTCTCTTACACAAACCGTGCCAAGAGGACCTTCAGCACTTTCCAGTGTAAAGCTGCACAGGAGAACTTTTAGAAGATGACAAATCTATTTATTCATGATAGATTCCATTGCTGTAATGTTAATACGTGTCTGATAGAATACATGGAGATTTAAGACAAGAACCAAACGGAGTCTTGTCATCCTTTGGACACGGACTGGAGTGAAAGTCTTTGGAGCCTTCTCTGGGATGTGGCACTGACCAGCCGCAGCGGGTGCAGCTGGAGTTTAGCCTCTCACTCGTCGAGTTTAGGTTGCCACACATATTTCAGCTTAAGGAAGAGTTCATCTACACGCAGTTTTACATTCCCAGAGTGAATGTTACTGGCAGAACGTGCAAGCCAGTGAAAATTACTTCCAGCAGTATATATTTCACTGCTGTTCTTTGTTTTCTACGCTTTTGCCGTGCAGCCCAAGTTCTTTGGTTAAAGCAGAATCTGCCTTTTGTGGATTCGTGGGCTGCAGCACCGCTGCCCTCCCCGAAACCTGCCAGGCTTTGAGCCCTTTTAGCGAGAGGTGGCAGCAAACTAATTCTTCGCAGCAGCTGCTGCTTGCTGTGGCTTTTGCAGCAGGCGTGGAAGGGAACACCAGAAGCAGTTTTGCCTGCCAGGGCTGCGGGGAGACGTGCAGGAGCCCCGAGCAGAGCCCACAGAGTGCTGTGGGGCTGGAGGGGGAGCGCTGCACCTGCCTGCCCGCTGCCAGCACAGCCTCTGGCCTTTTCACCTCAGCTCCGGTCCTAAGCACAGCTAAACCATCTGCTCTGTGTTTTAGATCTTAAACTTCAGTTTTTGTTCTTCATCTCCAGTTGTGGAGGCGTGTTCCCCCTTAAGTCATAACAGCATTTTCTGTTAATACTGTGGCTTGCTGGCGGTTCCTGGTAGAATATCTCTATTCAGACAGACTTGGGTAATATTATCTGAGTTGCTTCATGGCTTTTCCTCTGCCCAGGAAGGAGATTGATCTCTGCACTCCGTCAGGAAACTCAGACCCATGTAGTAGGAGGAGAGGGTGAAAATAACACAGAAGTGGTCACAGTCATGGGTGACAAATGGGGGCATTAGGATCGTACGAAGCGTGCACGCAAGCAACCATCTCCTGTGTCCCTTCACCCTGCCAAAGTGCCATTTTCCTGTTTCCCCCCCCCCGCCTGTCCTAGAACCGCTCCAGGACTGCCAGGGCTTGCCTCTCCAGTACTGTTCTGTTTCATGTAGTTGCTGTTGGTGTGTAATTTTCAAAAACCTTTAAGCACAAAAGCACTCTGTGTGTGTGTGTGTGAAGGCTCAACTCACTTTGCTGCTTACCTGGTTCCTCAGGTGTATTTTAAAGACAGTTTTCTTGATTTGTGTCACCCAGTCAGTGCTCTCTTGTTCTGGGTTGAGACCCCGGCTGTAGGGGGGTGGGCAAGTCTCTGGTCTTGGAGAATCACACTTGGCTGTGGAGCCTCCCCTGCATCCCAATCTGGGAGTTATTCACTGTCTCTTTTCCCCTGCTCTTTATAGAGGATTAGTGCACTCAGGGTTTCAAATCTGCCCACAGCGTGAGGGTTTCGTTCTCCAGCCCAGCTCTTGTGCTGCTGAGCTGTCCCTGGGGCTCTGTGGAGAGGGGACTTGGCTGACACTGAGGCACAGCCTGGAGCCCCTGGGTGCCCTCTCCCAGTGCTCTGGCTGGGAGCAGACTGGCCATGCTGGGAACGTGGGGATGTGCAGGACCTGGTGGGGGTTAATCTGCAGCAGGGGAACCTGGGGGCTCCCTCCAGGCCCTGCCCAAACAGCTCCAAAAAGGGCCATGGGGACAACAGGGCCACATGCCACTGGTGACCAGCAGTGGCCCAGGGGCTGGTAACAGGCTTCAGCTGCCTGAGACGAGCTTTACTCAGCTCAGCTCCTCTAATCCCCCTTGACTGTCTGCATGGGCTGGTCACCCTCACACACGTGAGGCTGCTCATGGGGGGTGTCCCTTGCTGCCCCCACACCTGCTGGGCCTCTTTGCCACCTGGTCCCCACAGGGGTGGCAGCAGGTCCCATTGCCCAGCAGCCTGGCGGCAGGCGGGGAAGGGTTTCCTGAACTCTCCTCGCAACACCCCAGAGTTTCCTGTTTTTCAGCTGTTGGGGCTGTCTCCTGACTCACTGCCCGTCCTGCCTTTGGAGGGGGACGCACTCCCAGGGTGCTCCAAGCCCTTCCCCCAGCAGCAGCCCCCACCCCAAAAAAACGAGACTGACACCACCAGCACGACACTGAACTATTGACCTTTTTATTTCAATCAGCTACAGCAGCTCTACATTCCCCTAAACCACTGTCCTTCCTTGACTACCACAGACAGCAAGGGAGCCGAGTACACTGCGGTGGCAGCAAGTCTTTTTAAAGCTTAGTATTAAATATTAAATATTCTCTCGTTTATGTTTACATTACTTTGTCAAGGAAAACAAACAAACAAAAAAAGACAATTAAAACTTAACTTACATCAATCTGTGCCTGTGCCCTGGGCAGCAGTGCCGGGGGCTGCAGAGCTGCCCCAGTAAGGCAGCTCTGCTGTGAGGGATATGCAAAAAAATCTCTGGCCCTGGGCCTGGTAGTGCGTGACTCCGCTCGCTCCGGTGCTGAGCGCGGGCAGGGGGTGCTGGGCTGTGCTGGGAGCAGGGTACCCGCACCCCCCGCGTCCAGGAATCGGCGTGTCTGGGGGGGTCGGACCACCCCGGTGCAGCTAAAACACTGTCTGGAGGAGGAGGCGAGGCCGTGGCACCTCCCCTCAGCCCCAGCGATGTGCGTGGGGAAGGGGGTGAGGATTTGGTCAACGACTTTGCTAAAGAATTTTTCTGTTTTTTTTTTTTCCTTTAAAAAAAAAAAAACAAACAAACCCGACAACTCCAAACAGTTTTGAGTCTTCCTTTGATTTTAGCAAAGACAGAGTTTAAAAAGCACTTAGGAAGCTTGTACTAAAATCAGGCGCTCTCAGAGGAGAGAGTCGTCTGTGCACCCCCCTTCGAGTCCGTAGCGAAACTCCTGCAGGTTCGACACCCCGTAGAAGTGGACGAAGGCCGCAGCCACCACAAGCACGTGGAAGATCTGATGTGACTGAAACTGCGGGGAAGTGAAAAAGCCCTTTAGACCCAGACCAAAGGGGACAAAACAATGCTGGGAACACCTCCTCCTCCTCCTCGCTGCTTCCTCACTGCCCCAGGACTGTTCTTTGAGCTCCACATTTCCCACCTTGCCGCTCCCCCCTCACCACGTACTTTGCCCACCCTGTGGGCTCACAGCAGCCGTCCAAGGTCTGGCTCTGGGGCACATCAGGATCCCCCCCCAGCGACCTTATTCCTCACCTCGGGGCTCATCCTCCCCATCCCCAGCACCCCACTCACCACTTTGTCCCCCCACACTCACCCAGATGTCGAACTTGCCCGGGAAGAAGCGCTCAGGTATGCGGGCGGCGTAGAGCCCCGCGCCTGTGATGTACATCACGGCCATGAGGAAGAACCAGCCCATCTGGCCGACGGTGGTGGCTTTCACGAAGCCCTCGGCGATGGTGAAGTGCATGGTGGGCACCACACCGCTCAGCCCCAGCCCCAGGAACACGCCTGCAGTGGGGAGGAGACCTCAGCGTGGATGAGACCGACCCACTCACCTCGCACCCTGCTCCTGTGCAAAGGGAAGCTCTTGGAGGCACCAGCAGCTTTTCCTCACTCAGTCCTGGATGATCCAACACCGCCCATCCCCTCCCCATTTATTCTTCAAACAGTGAGGGATCTACAGCTCTATGTCCCAGTCAAAACATTGCTCACCCCCAGTGCTCGCTGGGTGGAGCTCACCCAGGGTTCGTACAGCCACGGGGCTGCGGCGGCTCCCGGCTACGAGAATGGCCCTTTCGGGAGGTGTCGGCCCTTTGGGTCACACCAAAGCCTCAGGAGTGTGAGAAACGCGGCTGCCCCAGCCACCCCTTTGGGGAGAGGCTTTGCCAGAGCCATTTATTTGGTGAAAGCTGCTTTGGAGCTCAAGGGGAAGGTCTGAGTTATAGAATCCTCCGGGTTGGAAGAGACCCTGAAGCTCCTCCAGCCCAACCATGACCCTCACCCTGACCCTTCCCAACTCCTCCAGATCCCTCAGCGCTGGCTCAGCCCGACTCTTCAACCCCTCCAGGGATCCCGGGGACTCCCCCCTGCCCTGGGCAGCCCATTCCAACGCCCAACAGCCCCTTCTGCACAGAAATCCTTCCTCAGAGCCAGCCTGACCCTGCCCTGGGCAGCTTGAGGCCATTCCCTCGGGGCCTGGCGCTGGCTCCTTGGCTCCAGAGACTCATCCCCCGTCTCTGCCCCCTCCTGGCAGGGAGTTGCAGAGGGCCAGGAGGTCTCCCCTCAGCCTCCTCCAGACTAAACCCCCCCAGTTCCCCCAGCTGCTCCCCAGCAGACCTGTGCTCCAGACCCTGCCCCAGATCCGTTGCCCTTCTCTGGACATGCTCAAGTCATTCAGTGGCCTTTTTGGGGTGAGGGGCCCAGAACTAAACATGGTAATTAGCAGTGCTGAAATTTTCAACTCTGGCATCTAATTAATTTGGCGGAGAGCAAACGGCATCGCAGTGAGACACCAGCCGAGAGGGGCTGCAGCTCATCCTCACAGCAGGATCTCGCTCCTTGGGATCTCTGCCAGCAGCCAACACTAGCGTGGCTGGGGGGAGAGCAGAGGGGCTAGCAGTCCCCCCCTTTCCCCCTCTGAGGGGACCTGGTGCCAGCAGCACTGCCTGGCCTCCAGCTCCGCATCGTCCCATTCTGCAGCAGGAGCCCCCCGGGGGAGGCGAGGGCGGGCAGCGGCGTTTCTCCGCGCTCAGTGGTGCTCAGCCAGGCCGAGTTAATCTGCGGGGGCAAGGCAGGGGGGAGAGAGCACGGAGTGGGCTGGGGGCAACTGCAGCCTCTGGGAAGAACAGTATGTGTCGGGGGGCAACTGGCAGGGGACTTCCTCCTCCTCTGCGCAAGCTGCAGGCTAAGGCTGCCAAAGTGCTTCCCGGAGCAGGCGGTTTCACGCTGCGCAGCCCCAGGCTGCCCAGCCACCACTTACAGGGCTATTTTTAAACACTGCCTCCCTGCTCCAAACCTCAGGCTCGCCGAGTGCCAGGCTGAGCTCAGGCTCTGCTCAGCAGAGCATCTAAATCCCCAGCACACAGATGAGGAGGGAGACTCTCCCTTCTGGGGGAAGGAATTCTGCAGGTGCTGAGTTTTCCCAAATGGGAAGAGCCACCCCACAACGGGATCTTCCCAAAGTGCCCCCTGGAGCCCTCACAGGGCTGGGGACTCGGGGTGAGGAGGGAGATCTCCTACCTGCTCTTGTCTGCCTGTGCTTGGGGGTGGCAAACCGGTCCCACTGAGCAACAATGATGGCAGAGATGCCCAAGACACAGACGATGGAGAGGTAGATGAGTCTTGGCTGTGGAGAGCAGTAGAACGAATAGTAGAGCCACGGGACAAAGCTCCCCATGATCAGCAGTGCAATTCCTGAATAATCCAACCTGCAGCCAGGGTGCAATGACAGAGAGTCACAGATAAGCCCCAAAATCCAGCCCTCTCCTTGTGTACCCTCAGTAACGGTGTGTCGGTACCCTCCGGTCTGCACCCCAACGGCATCGCCCCAGCCCTGCGGGTGGAGCTGTGAGGGGATAAGGGCTGCACTCGGGCGTCCTCGACGGGATGTGGGGCAGGGGAAAGGGGCCTGGGCAGCTTTGGGGGGCCACCCATGGAGCTCGGCAGGTGAGCAGGGGCTGGCTGGACGCTCAAACCGCCCCAGCAGGACGCGGTGGACGCGAGTCCCTGCGCTTACGGATTGGACTGTTCTCCCCCACTGCAAAGTGCTTTCGATTTATCGATCCAGGAACGATTTCCCCACCAAAATGCAGCTGCCTGTGTTACCTCCGCCGCCGCGGCAAGCGCCCTCCCCGCAACACAAGGACGTTTCTACTGAGGGCACGGCAGCAATCGCGAGCCTGCGGGGTCTCTGGGGTTTGTGCAGAGGAGATCGGCAGGATTTCCCAGCAAGCAGCACCCAAGTAAATGCCTCTGACAGGCTTGTGTGAGCAAGATATTACTTGAAAGCCTTGCTGCTGCTCTGCCTGTGCCACGGAGGCTGATGTGAGCTTAACTCTAAGAGCAGCCTGTGCACCGACCTCAGGGAGAGGCACTGGCCACTTCCCAGCCTTTCCACTTTGCCAGGAATCCTGTTAGTTTTGTTTCTTTCCATTTGGTTTCGATCCAAATTGGATCCAAACCAGAGTTTTTGAAAACATCCAGTAAACTGAAAACGGCCAAACCGCTGCATCCCGCGGCTGCCCAGCGAGACCAAGACCCCTCCTTGCTTCACTGCTGCGAGGGGTACAAGGGCTGTTCCCTTGGGAGCGGCAGGTTCCCAGGTTCCCTGTCTCCCCCCAACCCCCCTGAGGGCATTTTAGCTGACAGAATTAAGGTGCTCAGGCATGGGGCAGAGCCCTTCAGGATGCAGCTGTGGTTCCCTCTCAGCTCCACAATGGATTTGGTGAACGCTCCCCTTCCCCCAAGGATAAAAGATTTGGGAACTCAGCGCTTCCCAAGAGGAAGTGCTGTGAGAACTCGGAGCCTCCTGTGAGACCACACAACCACACTTGTGCTGACTCACTTCGAAAAAGTCCGTGAGACTTTCTCCGAGTGACAGTAGACAGTGTGGAAAAGCCAGGAGAAGCTGAGGCACAGCACTGCTCCCAGGAAGAACATCCCGAACACCACCTTCTCCTGGAGAGGAGCCATGAAATACATGTTGGGCCGCAGCATGGTCAGGATCCCCAGGCAGAGGAACAAAACGAAACCTGCAGGGAACACACCGAATGGGCAGTCAGGCAGAAGGAGAGGGAATGGATTCAGCAAAAAGCCAGGAGAAACACAGCCCTGGCTCTGCTCTGCAAGGCCCTGGGTGTATCCTGCTCGCAGCGCACCCAGAGGCGCTCAGTCACACCTGGGGGTGTTGTTACTGCAGGTGAGCAGAGCTGGGAGCAAGGGCACGGTCAGGTGTGGGGTGTAGAGCCACTGATCGTCCCTGGGATTTGGAGGAAGCACTCTGAGGCTTTCCTGTTACACCCAGGACACATTTCTCCATCCAGCTCTTGCAGTGTCGGGCAAAGCCACAAACAGCAGCTGAGCCCCGCTGTGAGGAAGCGCCCTGGTCTCCCTTCAGCCAAGGAACGCCTGGAGCTCTTGGGCACCTCGTGCCACAGCTGCCTGCGAGCACAGGGCCAGGCCAGGGTACATCAACCCCAACGGGACCCCCCACCAAGCAAGTCCTGGCCATAAAAGGCCACCCTGTGCATGAGGGCAACGGCCACCTTTAGCCCCAGGGCTACCAAACCCCCCCCCAGTCACCTAGCAAGTGCGTCCAGATGTTGCCCGTCTCGGTGTGTATTCGGAAGATGCTCTTGAAGCAGGCTCGGAAGGACGGCATGGGAGGCCTGTGGCCATGCAGGAGGTAATCGTTGTCCTTCAGCCAGTCGGGCAGCACGTCGTAAGGGATCACGCGCCAGCGCCCTTCCCACACCTGCAATAACCAAGCTGTGCTGGTGGCCCCCAGAGCGTCAAGCCAGCCCAAAGGTTCATGTTTACTCACCCCAGGAGCCTAAAACTGCATGCGGAACAAGCCCAGCCAGGGCTGAAAGGGCCCTGTAAGGCGCCTCGGGGAGAGGAAGTTCAGCTTTTGCAACATCAGCAGCCTGTGGGACCCCTTAAAGCCACCCACATCCTGCAGAGCGCTCCCCACACGTCCCCTCAGGGAGTCAGAGGTGATTTGCACCCTCAGGTTTAACTGCTCTGAACCCCAAGCAACTGTTCTCTGCAGTGGGGAACACAGGGAAGAGGGAGTCCTGGCTGGCAACAGAGCCAGGCTGACCCTCAGCTGATGCCACCGCTTACAAAAATGTGGTGACCATGAGCACAGGCACTGGGTGAAACCAGCAACTGGTGCTCCCAGTCCCCGTTAGAGGGCCGCAGGGATACCAGGGCTGCTCCCCAGGTCGCTGCTCGGCCGGCATGGCTGAGCACAACCCCCACTCACACCTCCCAGCCGCTGCCATGCCCTTCCCACACTGCTCCCAGGAGATGCTGCTGGGAGTGGGCCCAGGCAGACTGCCGGCAGAGCAGCACAGAGCCCCGGGAGCTTCCCCCAGACGTCCCAGCCCCTTCCCACCACCCCGAGCCCCGGGCTTGGGGCATCCAGACCTCACTAATACTCCAAAATTAGGATTGTGGGATTGCTGCATGCTCCCATACCTTATACACAAACTCTTCCATCTTCTCCATGGCGTGATGAGCCTGCAGAGGCAGAGTCAGCACACGGACCACCTCCTCCTCTTCCTCACGGGCTGCTGGGCATGGCGGGTCTTCTGCCTAGAGGGAGAGACACCAGGAGGAAACCATTCCTGCCCATGGGAGGACGAACAGCGTCCAGAGAGCAGCAAGTCCCTTCTGAGAGCACTCGGGGCTTCATCCCTCCCCGAGGGGACAGGCAGGACCCGGCGGTCACCACCGCTTATGCAATACGCTACTGTCTTAACCATCTCAGGCAGGCTAATCCCAGCTTTATCCTTGTTGAAAGGTGGGATTACTGGGGGGGGATTTTCATCCCTACAACCAAGGCTGAAACAGCCACTTGGCCCAGCCGGGACACCCAGCCCCCCACCCTATTCAGGAGCCCAGCAAGCACAGAGGCAGCGCCTTCCCACACCCCCCCGGCTCCACTCCCTCTCCGTTAGCGGGTTTGGGCAGGTGATTCCCAGTCCTAAGGGCCACGGCCCAGCTGGCTGACCCAGGACACCCCCTTCGCTCCAGCGGCGGCACGGGCAGGCAGGGACGGCGCGTCTCGGCCACAGCTCTGCCCGAGGGCGGCTGCAGACCCACGCCCGCACGACGGGACAAGTTTTTGGGCCAGCTCAAAGCACGGCCCAGCCAGACCATCCGCGTCGGGGTAACAAAATATTCCACCGCCTCTCTGCGCTGTAACAAAGCGACGACCAGCCCCTGAGCTCTACCAAACGCGGCCGGCCGGCATCCTTCAAGCTGCTAATGGGATAACGGGCAAATTCCCAGGTTAATCCGCAAGGACGGAGCGCAGAGGCTGAG